TGGGTGTCCCCTTGGGTGATCTTGAAACTCTGTTCACTCTGTGCTTTGCTGATGACCAGGTGGTGGTTGCTCAAGATCAAGAAGACGCGGAGTACATGATGCGCAAGTTAGTAGAAGAATATCGGAAGTGGGGTTTGGAAGTCAGCATATCCAAATCTGACAAGATGACTTTTGGTGGTGATCAGCAAAGCATTGAGTTGGAGGATGGGCAGCAGATCAAATGCTGCGAGCACTTCAAGTACTTGGGAGTGCGGTTGACCCAGGATGGAAGGACGGATCAAGCTATCAGGGAAAGGAACACCTTAGCAAGGAAGGCTATAGCGATGTTAAATGGAATCCTCTGGGATCAGCGGATTCCCAAAGATAACAAGAGGAGGATATACAACGCTGTAGTAAAAAGTTTGGTATGGTCATGTCAATAGGATGACGGAAGAGAGGCTGCCAAAAAAGATGCTTGATTGGGTTCCTCCTGGGAGGAGGCGTAGGGGACGCCCAGTGAGAGGTTGGCGACAGGGGGTGTTAAGTGAGATGAGGGAGTGTCAACTCCCTGATAACCTGTGGGAAGACCGAGCTTTGTGGCGATTAGGTGTCGCAAAGCGCCAAAGAGCGCTATAACAGCGACTCGTATGTATGTATGTATGAAGTTGCACAATCTTAGGATCATTGCAATGCTAGTGGTTCCTTTTTGCAAAATGCAATCCAATTTATTCTATTCCATTATAAAAATAGACAAGAAAATATTATGGAATTCTGTCGGTAATTAACTATCATCGTTTTTCTGACACAACAACATAACTTCATTTTCAGATGACCTCTAAAAAGTCAGGAGTTATGCGAAAAATAGGGCATATTTGTAAACGTACTTACACCCTTACTTCAGAGAAATGGGATTTTAACAGTTGTGTTGAGCATAAGGCTTGTAACTACATGTTTCCCGTCAGAAGCGTTCACAAGAAAACTCTCAGAAGGTCACATTGCTTCCTTTGTATATCAAATAACAACCCTTTTGATGTGAGCTCCTAGCATATTTCTCCTTTCTTAACAAAACTAATCGTGAAAATAAATCATCTCATATGCGCATGAATATTTATCGCCCTTAAGACTCAGTGAAACATTTCGTCCAATTTAAAAAAAGAGGTTACTTGTAATTGATTTTGCGGGGTTGCTGGGTCATCGTCTTCAGCCAAGAGACTTAATTTCCCCTGACGGTTTAACCCTTCTAATATCTGAGGACATGATGCAATTAAATACTTTTCAACATGTTTCATAACCCCTCTAAATGAAGGCAAAGAACGCGCTGTCACAGTGTCACATCGGACGAGGCTCTATTCGAGAGGCAGGGCCAAATTCGCCTTCATTTGAGTAATTAGGCAAAAAAATTCTTAACATTAAATCCCTTGAATTTACTGCACATTGCGAGATTCTTAAACTAAATTTTGCATTGCTCAACGCGATGTGAAAAATTCTGACATGTAGTATCAAAACAATTGTTCTTTTCCTATTATGCGGATTTCGAGGTCAGGGTTTTCTTAAACCATATTATTTTTTGTGAGCTTCATTCATGCTAATAGCTCTGTACTAAAGATGACATAGTTACAACGGATTGAAATATACAAACGGAAAGTGATTTTATAGTGAGAGCGGCTAAGTAGAGTACATGATGTAGAAATGAGTAGGATTTTCTTAGTTACGAGAGTCCCCAAAGTAAAAACTTTGGCGAGAAAAGGCTGATAGATCTCTCTATAAAATTCATCCCTGACAAAGAACAACATTTGCTGCCAATTATGGACAGTCAATAGTTATGGGCAGGCTATGTATTTTAAATTTCAATATCTTCGCATTGACGAGGCCATGCATGAGTATCAATCATATAACACGCACACCAAGTTGCAAAGAGGAAATTACTTAAATGACGTATATTACCCACTAGTGCCAGGCTGTATAGAGACCCTTTAGTCCATGGCCAAACTATTTGTTTCGGTTTCTTCTCTAGCAATGCTGGATCCATTTTGTTTCCTAAATTGACTATACTTCGACGTGAGTACACAACCTGTAACATTAATTGCTTATTTAAAACTAAAAGTTTTAAGGATAAAGTAAAGACTAAATAAAACCAGGTATTATTGAAATAACTTTTCGACCTGAAAAAACATCCAGCGTGACATGAAATTCTCATTTTACTATCGATTTTTTTTTTTTTTTGGTCAGCTGATGACTTGGCTGCCCGATGCGTTTTTCGTATTGGAAATCGCCGTGGGTGAAGGATGACCGGTAGAAGAGTAGAATCAAATAAGTTTTGCTCTACCATGTCTGCCAACTTTTTAGCCCTTCAAAATGGAAAAATCTGACATTTTTTTTTTTCAAATTTGTTCAAAATTTTACGCTTAATCAGGTCCCAACATCGCTTTAGGCAGTTTTTGCCATTTAATATCAGAATTTTGGCCCTAAACAGCTGAAATGTCCTGTACCGTAGCCTGTCTGCAACTCAAGTGCGCAACTTTAACGCTTCATAACCATCATCTTGCATCTAAATACTTCCACTTCTGCTGTAAATTCACACTCAATTTGTACCTAACTTATTATTTTCAGTTATATTCATCCAAATAAGTGAAAATATTAACAGTCTTTGCGTCATGCAGCCTTGTCTGCGGAATTCGCGTCCTGTACCGTAGCCCCCTTTTTTCAGCATCATTTCGTCCGTTACAGTGCAGCACTTATGAACTTTGTTTGCTTTTTTTGTGTTATCGTGACTATCACACGCTGATGTCGAGCAGAGGAAAAAAAACCGGAATGAAACAGTAAATTTTGACCGTTTTTTATGAGTTTCTAGGTTTAACGACCATCTAGGATGTCCTTACCGTATACCTACCTTTTTAATGCATAAATCACTTCAAACTCTCGAATTTTGGTATTTTTTGATACGCTCTGATATCTTAACCTCAAATCCAGAATTTCAACCACATGCGTGAATATGCCCGAGCACCGTTGCCAATAATCACACGATTTGTCCGCACCGTAGCCGTCCGTACCGTAGCCCGTAGCCGTCCGGTATCGTAGCCCGTAGCTGACGCGCGATGCGGCCGGGCCTACGGTAAGTACGGACAAAATGCGAAAGTCATCCAAAAATCGGTGCGCTGTTTGATAGATCATCCCACTTTACTTTATTTTATCTATCACCAAAATTTGGAATTTAAAAAAAAAAGAGAGACGTATTTTTTTTAGTACGACGCGACTTAGAAGAAGGAGGCTTTTTTTTTCGATGATTGCATTGTCATTTTATAGAAATATTATGGTTAGAAAGAACAACATTGATTTAAGGCGGCACACAATTCGGGTTTTATTTTGACATTACATCATACAGCGCTCGCGGTTAAGACGCGACTAAATTAGCAGTAATCAGCACATTACGCGCTCGAGGCAAAATCCAGTCACTTAGAAGGTGAAACGCTCTGAAAAGATCCTCTCCCCGGAAAAAACAGTCTCAGCATTTTTAGTTCTGTCTCTTTTACTCTTGTTATTATTTATGGCTTTTATCTCACTCTCACAGGTATTTTTCAGCTGGAGAATCATTCCAGGGTGCTTCACTTCTTGGAAGACATGAACACATGGTTGTCACTTTCACTTAGATACCTTCATTTTTATTTGTGAATTTTTACCAAATCTAACACG